GGTGGGGGGGTAGGAGGGAAGTGTATCTGGAGATTGGTTAGTGTTGGGGCTGAACGAAGGATTCCCAGAGCAAATCTTAGGAAGCGTCACGACTTGACCGGGAGACAGCTTCACAAACTGTAAAGCGACCAAGCCAGTGTCCTCTGCGACTTGGGTAGGCTAACACGTAGGAACCAGTCCATTAAAGGTGCTCAGGGGTTCTGTTGTCAGCGGCCTATCCAAAAAACCACATTGACTTCATCTTCTGCCATCGGAGCTTTTAGCACAGGCTCTTCTTGAAGGGTGCTGGGACTGAATATACCCCGCTGGGTCTGGCAGCCTGTCTGGGGGAGGCAGCTGGACATACATACATGGATCACCCCCACAACGTGAAAAACGTGGTATTATTATTTTTTTTTCCTAGAACGAAAAGAGGAGGCATTGATTTGGGGAGAGATATAATACGTGGAACTCACCAATGGCAACTCAATAGCAAGAGAATGTAATAACCTGACCACCTCTTGTCTAGCATTAACGTTTCACGACTTTGACCAAAGGACCAAAGGAAGATTTTCAGAAGGGTTCAGAATTCACTTAACTCTGCTCACATAGATGCTGAAATAATTTTTACTCACAAATTTGTATTCGTGATTTGATAGAAACAGGGGTAGGACATCCCAGAGGGCTTTTGAAAATCTTATCATGAATTTATGAATTTTGCCGCTCTTTGCATGGTCTTCCCTTATATTACCATAAATTTCCAGCTGCCCAAACCAATACGAGAATACCCAGGACTGCACAGGGAGAGAGACCTGTTAGAAGTGATAAAGCTGTGAAGGGAACTAAAGTGATGACTACACGTGTGGCAGTCCTGCTGTCACATGTACTGTCTCACCCTGAATGCCTAAGTTCACCTCTGAAATGCTCAAAAAACCCTTCTTGTTTGTCTGTTTATAAGCTTCTGTTAGAAGTGTTTTAAGTTTTAAAAGATTACTATTTGACCATCCATGCAAGCTAGGTTGATTGAAAGCTGTTGCAAGTTTGTCATGTTTGGAATGTACCGGTGGACAAGCAGAGACTGACTGCTTCAGGATTAAGTGTTTGAGCAGCTGTAGTGCGGGCATTGCCAGCTTGCTGGCTGAGCCTTCGTTACAGGCTGTTGTTCACACAGACTAATAAAGCCACGTAATGTCTTACTTCAAAAAAAAAACCCCAACATTTTACAACAGGTTTATTAAAAATTAATTGGTACAGAGCAACCAAAAAACTCAGGCAGTGTTTGAGTGAAGCCCCTTCCTGCAGGGAGACCCCCACCAAAGCGTGTAGAGCGAGCTGAGCTCAGCTATGTGTGTTGAGGTGGTGTGTCCGAGCGGCGAGGTTGCTTCCCCAAGCATGGACATCAAGGTGGAGGCGGTGGGCGAGCAGCAGGATGGCGTTGGTGAGCGCGCGTTGACTCTTCACAACGGTTCTGGTAGCATTGAGGCTTCGGCCATGTGGAGGTGGTGGTGGAGCAGAGGCAGGTCATGTCTACGTGGAGATGATCTCGCGCTGCTGCAGCGGTCCCTCAGGACCTGCTGCAAACCCATGTGCTTCAAGACATCCGTAGGTTTCTCTCGACACTCAACGTGGTTCCAGTTTGGGCACTGTCAAAGCCAGCGTTGCTGCCTTTGCCTGTGCGTGGGCTGGGGGTCGCATACCGGGATTGTGGTGGCCGGTTCTTGTGTCCCCGACAGGCAGATGGGTGCTGCGGCTGTGCTTGGGACCCTCCACACCTGCTCTCCTGGTGGAAAGCACTGTGGAGGTGCATGTGCAGGACTACAGGCAGCTCCCGGGAGCTGCGTGTCGGGTGACAAACCGCGTGCCCAGGTTGATCTGCTTTGAGTCCTTCACAGGATTATTTTTGTGTTAATTTATTTCCCCTGCTGCCCCAAGTAAGCCATCGGCTATGTTTTTGAGATGAAAGAGGCCAAGTGCGGTGTGAAAAAAAAAAAAGTGAAATTAAAGTGTAGCCTGCAAAGTACTGGTGCTGTGCAAGTCGTGTTAGTACTTGAGGTTTGTAACCTGTGGAGGGAAACCAACCCTGATCTATGTCAAAAACTTCTCACTGAGGTTAGCCACATCCAGGCAGTCCCTGTGCGACTTCTTGGCCTGTATCTCCCAATTTACGCATTGCAAACATGTTGCATGCAGTCCTAGCCCCGCACAAGCTGACGGTGGAGCTTGCGATCGCTTCCATCAGGGCAGCTCTCCTCCCAGCACCGTCCGGCAAGGCAGCAGCGCAATCGTCCCGAGAGCCTCTGCGAGCTGAGAGGTTACAGCAGCTATCGGTGGCTCTGGAAGTTAGCACGAGACACGTGTTTGCTCTAAACTGAATCTGGATAAACTGTTTTTATCAGCATGTTGCCGTCCCTTCGTTGCTGACCTGGGAAATCCCAACCCTTCCAGGCAAGGCTGCCTCTGGTGTGCGCTGCCTGTTCTCGCCAGCCGTGATGTACTGGGGAGTTGTATGCAGCCTCCACGTGCATCTTTTTTTCATTTAAAAAGTAGCTTCAGAACTACTTTTCTGTGAATATTTCCTTCCATGCGCCCCGCCCCAATGCTTGTGTGGAAAAACTAGTTTATTGTTGTTGGACATTTCACAGCTTGCTTTTTTTTTTTTTTTAGGTGAAAGTCAAATAATGAACTTCATTGTTTGAAACCAGATTTTAAATCAATAGAAATAGAAGGAAAAATCTCACAGTATAAAGGAATAAATACATTTTAGTGCTTTAGGAATGGGAAAAAATAATTTTCAACTTGCCACGTGTTTGCTTAAGAAAACAACTGTGCAAACCAAGAAGGAAGGGTTTGATGTACGGGCTGTAAAGTTGGCAGTGTTAAACGCTGCGGATGTTTTGGCAGGCATACTGTTGTGTGCCTGCATGGCAGTTCCACCCCTTGAAATAAAAACAAAGAGGTTACACGAAAACTTTTTGCAAGTTAGAACATACTCCTGCCTCTTAAGCGATGAGGACGTGCATTACAGGTAGCAGGCAAAGATCAGAAAACTCTGCCTTAGTTTTTTTAGGATCTTCTGCTGTCTTCATCGCCTGGGTACCTGAGTGCCCACCAAGGAGTGCAATAACTTGCCTGGCTACTCGCTGTCAGTTATTGCTCATTTTCATTCTCACGAGAGAAGATGCAGGGATGCTAAAGATGCTGTTTGAACTTTTAACAAACTAGTTTTACTCAGACTCTAAGCCTTTGTATGAGCTTGTTTTCTCTTTTGTCACATTCTGTGGATGATTTAGTCCTCTCTCCTAGTGGTGTAGTATATGTCGATGTTGTGTTGTGGGCAGTTTCAGATGATACTGGCTTCTGACTATCTGTTAGCGGCCGAAATCATTTCAGTTTTGAAGTCAGTGGCAAAACTCCTGTTGAAACCAGCGGTTTCCTCATACGAGTTGCAAGCTTGGCCTTTGTCCTTTTTTTTTTTTGGTCTGGGCAGAGAGGGCAGGACAAGTGCCTATGAAAGCAGTTCTTCAGTTGTATTTTACAGCCTGGGATGCAATGGATCTTGCTGTGGGCTGACGCAAGCACCAGCACTTACGCTCGGATGCCCCAGCTGTTTGCACAGCATCGTGGATGGAGGGGAACGTGGTGGCCGGGAAGCAGGGTTTGGTTTGTTTTCTGCCGCAGGCTTCCTACGGGACCATGTAGCTCTGCATCCTCCTGACTCCTCAGCCCTGCCTCGACTGGGGGCACTGGAGGCCACTGGAATCCTGTCTTCCCCCTCTGCAGAGTGATTCCTGGGAAAAAAAAAAAAGGCTCTGGGAAAGGCCTTTTGGTATCCCTGCTTTGCCTGTTGTGCAGGTTGCCCCGATGCAGCTGGCCTTGCAGGGAGAGCTGCATGGCAGAGGGCTTGCTAGGGGTGGTGTGGGTCAGTGCTGGTGGCACCTCTCCTCCTCCTCCTCCTCCTCCTCAGGAACCCCTGCATGGGATCCAGGGACAGGAGACCCCGGAGTTAGGGCTTGTTCCCTGGCGCAGGGCATGCCCCATGCAAACATCACTGGTTTTTTACATCAAATTGAGGTACTCCCCCAAATAGGAGAGATTTACTTTAAAGTGCTGTTCAGCTGCCTCCCCAAGGGTGCTACGCAGAGCGCTGGGCTGTGGGCAGCAGCATCAGCTGCGTCGGACCCCGAGGAGATCTGGAATTTCTCAGGCTGCAGGTGCAGGAGCCCAACTCAGGCTCCGTTCAGCGTGGCTTCTCCTCCCTCTGCCTTTTCCCTCCTGGGCAGCTCAGCAGGTCTCCGCTTGGCTGGCGCAGCAGCCCCTTTGCAACTCAGGACCCCTATGCCGGTGTCTCTGCCATC